ATTTGAATATAATAAACATGGATGAGGATAAAAATTTACATGATAGATATGAAAATTAAATCTACTAGAATATAAATGAGCATATATTGATATATAAATGAATATATATTAGGGTGGAAATAATGATCATCTATTAATATGAAAATGAACAACTATTAATACATAAATGAAAATATTTACATAATTCAATATGGATATGAACATCTATTAATATATACATGAGTTCCCATTTGGATGTTGTTTAGCCATATCTTGTTTGCAATGAGTTCCCAACAATGGGAATCTTTCATTCCGATGTTGTTACCATACTTTAGGGAATCCTGCCCGACCATGTCTCCCTAGCAGGTGGGAACACTGATTGGGATATTGTTGCGTTAACGTTAAACAACCAACTTGGAAAGAACTTTAAATCCCTTTCTATTAAGAATTTGTTCACGAATATGAATGATAAACATAGAGCTTAGAATGAATTAAAGAAATGGGCTAGTATTGGATGGACTGAAAACAGGGTTCAAAAATACGGCCGCACCATCACGTATCGGGCGAGTTGTAACGGTTTTCAATTTTACCGAACCGCGATTTATTGTTTTTTTTTTTTTTGAAAAAGCCCCAAAAAGGAGACTAACTTAATAAATCAAAAGAAGCAACATCCAGAACGCTAGGTGGGATTACATTATTCCAAGTTCTCTGACCAATTTCCCATGGTTGAAAATGGGCCAGATCGTGAGCTACTCTATTCCCACCACGCTTAACAAAAGAAAAATCAAATTCAACAAAACTAGAGCATAAATTTAAAACATCATCAATAATTAAATGAAAGGAGCTTGACCCCGTAGCATGATCCTTCAAGGCTTGCACAACAACCTGACAGTCACTCTCAAAGCAAACTTTCTGTATTCCCAATTGCACAGCAAGTTTTGCACCCCAATACATCGCCTTAGCCTCTGCCTCCCTAGTTTCCCACTTACTAAGATCCTGCACAACCGCACACCCCAACACCTCCCCACTGCAGTCCCTCACCACGGCACCCAAGCCAGAACCTAACTCACCCACCACACCCGCATCCACATTTACCTTCAGCCAACCCTCTGCAGGAGGTCCCCATCTGTCAGGGTGAGAAACCAGAGCATTACCCTTAGTGATAGGCCTCTTAACCCCCTCTTCACGTACTTCGCTGCTAGTACGCATAGCATAACTCACAACATTCTCAGGCATCATGGTCTCACCCTCAATCACATATGAGTTTCTAGCATTCCAAATAGCCCAACAAAGAGTGATTACATTTGCAATATCAACCTCATTCATCTCCAAAAAACAAGTCTCCCACCAATCCAGCAAGCAGCGAGCTCGAACTTCCGCCACAAACGCATACTCACTGGCCATCCACACTTCTCGCAAGCTTACAATCTTTCAAAGCATGGATAGTAGTTTCTTCCTCTCTACCGCAAACACCACAACTAGGATCATAGGAATCAATTCGAGCCCCAATACCACTCCGGGTAGGAATAGCATTGTGACACACACGCCACGCAAAAATTTTAATCCTAGGCAGTACCTGCAGATGCCAAATTTTCTTCCAGAGGGATCGAGTTGAAGAAGCCGCCACCTCCTCTGTGCTCCAATCATCACCAAAAATAGCACGGTAAGCGGATCTTTCCGAATAGTCACCATTCTTCTTCAAGTCCCAACACCAAGAATCAGCAGGACATCGAGGGCTAATAGGAATGCTGAATATTCTTTCCTGCTCAAACGGAAGAAACAATTGAGCAAGCAACTCTGAATTCCAGCAGCCGTTGGCATGATCAATTAGCTCACTAACTTTCATACTTTCCCTAGCTTGTCCTCGAGGCGAAATAATTTTGCGGGTTTGAGTGCCTGGCACCCAAGCTTCTGACCAAATATTAATTTGGCTGCCATCCCCCACCCGCCATCTACACCCTCTACGAATCACCCACTTTGCTTCACAGATGCCTCTCCACGTATAACTTGGGTTCACACCCAAATTAGAATTCATAAAATCCGAGCTAGGAAAATAACGACTCTTCAACAGATGAGCAAGCAAGCTATCCGGTCTAGTCAATAGTCGCCACGCTTGCTTACCTAGAAGAGCCCAATTGAAGAGTTTAAAGTCTCTGAATCCAAGACCACCATCTGCCTTAGATCTACAAATTTTCTTCCATGAAAGCCAATGAATTTTCCTCTCACCATGATTTTGTCCCCACCAGAATTGAGAAATTAGAGACCGCAATTCATCACAAAAAGAGGATGGAAATTTAAAAACACTCATCGCGTAGGTAGAGAGAGATTGGGCCACTGCCTTTATCATAACCTCTCTACCGGTCTTAGATAAAACCATCCCCTTCCACCCTTGTAACTTCTTCCACAATTTTTCTTTTACTCCTCTCGTAATTACTTTTTTCGATCTTCCCACAACCGTCGGAAGACCAAGGAATCGATCATGCACATCCACCTCTCTAACTCCAAGTTTATGAGCTAACTCCGTCCTTTTATTCTCAAGAATGCCCTTACTAAATGAAATAGTAGTTTTGTCAAAATTAATTTTTTGACCCGATGAGAGTTCATATGTAGTAAGAGCATCAAGGATAGACACCGCATTAATTTTAGTTGCCTTCGAAAAAATAATACAATCTTCCGCGAACAACAAGTGACTAATAGACGGAGCAGTCCGAGCTATACGAATACCCTGCAAGCTATTACTTTCTTCTGCTCTCCGCAATAAATGAGAAAACACCTCTGCACACAGAATAAATTAATACAGATAGATCGGATCCCCTTGTCTAATACCTCTTTTCGGAGAGAACTCATCAGTCGGGCGCCCATTAATAAGAATTGAGAAAGTCACCGTCCGGACACATTTCATCACACACTGACTCCAATTCTCGTCAAACCCAAATTTCTCCAAAACTGCTTCAAGGAAGTTCCATTCAATCCTATCATATGCTTTCGACATATCAAGCTTCATAGCCATAAAGCCACCCTTATTCGGCAAATTTTTCATATAGTGGAAAAGTTCGAAAGCTACAAGAATATTATCAGTGATAAGACGACCCGGAGTAAATGCACTCTGATTAACTGAAATAATCTTGTCTAAGAATTGTTTGAGAGGTTAGCTAACACTTTCGAAACAAGTTTATACACCACGTTACACAACGCAATAGGTCTAAAATCCACCATACGATCAACTTTACTTTTCTTCGGAATAAGAGCAATAAAAGTTTTATTCACATAAGCAGGCATCGGAGCTCCCCGAAGAATGGAGATCACCAAATTTGACACTGAATCACCAACGATATGCCAATAAGATTGAAAGAACAATGGACACATACTATCCGGCCCAGGGGCCTTAATTGGGTGCATTTGATTGAGAGCAAATTCCACCTCCTTCTTTGTGTAATCGGCCCTGAGAATTGAATTCATGTCACTAGTGACTCTCTCCTGGAGCTGCTGCAAAGCATCCTCTATCATCGTGGGGATTGACGACTCAAACAGGTTGCAAAAATAGCTGACTGCCACCTTCCCCATCGCTTCATCACCTGAGTGCGTCACTTCATCATCATCAACAAGGCTTCGAATATTATTTTTCCTCTTTCGATTGGAAGCACGTTGATGAAAAAACTTCGTATTTTTATCACCTTCCGAGAGCCAAAGTACACGAGAACGTTGCTTCCAATAGATTTCCTCTACATGAACAAGGCTTGCAATCTCACGTACCAAAACACGTCGCCTTTCTAATTTTTCCGCTGATAGCCCACCCACATTGAGCTTTTTTAATTTTTTTCGTTTTTTTTCTCAGCTCACGAAATACCTCACCAAACTTTTTTTGACTCCACTCCTTCAAATCCACTGTACACATAGTGATTTTTGCCTCCAAGTCAACTTCACCAAGCCAAGCATTCTCAACTACTCCTTCACAACTATCATCTGCTTGCCATATTTGTTCAAATCTGAAAGGCTTATCCCCCAATTTTGCTTCGTTCCGAGACCACAATAATAATTTAATAGGGGCATGGTCCGACCACTCCTTATCCAGATGAATAACATACGAGTCAGGGAACAAAGTTAACCAACTCTCTAGAGCCAAAGCACGATCAAGTCTACATTGAGTATTTTCTATCCCCTCTCTACCATTATCATAAGTAAATTCATACCCTGAGAAAGGAATGTTACAAAAACCACAAACATTAATCGCATTTCTAAAATTGTCCATTTGCCAATCAGCTCTATCATTCCTACCACTCTTCTCCGAAGGGAACAAAATCTCGTTAAAATCTCCAATACACACCCATGGTAACTCAGAATGTGTACTAAGCTCAGATAGCAAACTCCAAGAAAGATGTCTATTTTGAACTTCCGGCCAACCATAAAAACCTGTAAGTCTCCACCCCACCTCTCCCAACCCCGCCACAATATCAACATTAATATGGTGCACCGACATGGTTCGCAAAGACACCTCCAAACCCTTTCTCCATAACAACGCAAGACCCCCAGAACGGCCCATGGAATCGACAGAAACACCTTCGAAATCACCCAAATTATTTTGCACTTTACAGAACTCTCTACTACTCAGTTTCGTCTCTGATAGAAAGATCAGAGCCGGGGTCTCTCTTCGGATAAGATCCCGAAGACCACTCACTGCAGAGGGATTGCCCAACCCCCTACAGTTTAAACTCAGAACACTCATTGGGCTTGGCGGGGTTGCTCATCCGCAACCACCGCCTCTCGCCATCCAGATAAAACATCATTCGTCAACACTTTTTTACTCACTTTATTATCCTCCGATCCTAAATCCCCTTTCTCCCTTCCTCTTTTACCTCCCACTACTTCCCTATCAACATCCATAAAATTCTCTTTCAACACACTTTTATCACTGGTCCCTTTCCTCACTTTTTTTTTCCTTTCTCCCCAGAAGACTTACCTCCCATCCCAATCACAAAATCAAGAGAATGTAGTTGCAGCTCATTCTCTCCATTGGTCCCCACTTATAACTCCTTTTCTGAGATGCCAGGTTGATGTGGCAATGCTAGAGTAGCACTTTGATTCGCCACAGAGGACTCCCCTAACCCCTCAGTCACTACATTCTCCTCAAGGCATTTATTAAAGACATCCAGATCCACCTCATCACACTCCTTACTCTCCATTACTTCGCCTTCCTTCACAACAAATAATTGCTTACGGGATGAAACAATAGCCTCAAGCTCCTCCACTTCCTTCAATCTACCCTTTCTTGGTGAAGCTCTCAACCACCTACCCCACCCCACCCCAATTTTTGTTTCTTAGTTTCCTCCGACACCAACTCACAGTCTTTCTCAGAGTGTCCAATGACACCGCAAGCGAAACAAAAATAAGGCAAACGCTCATATGCAAATTCCACACAAATTTCCTTGCCTCCTTTGTCACGGATTCTTTGAAATTGACGCAGGGGTTTAGCAATATTAATCAACACCCTAACTCTACGATATCGATCAAGCCCCAGGAGATCTTCCTCTATTTCCAACACCTCGCCCAGATTACTCACCAACTCCCTAACATCACTATCAGACCTGCAATTGAATGGCAGGTGTTTTATTCGAACCCAGAAAGGAGAATGGTACAATGCTATGCGCTCAGGTTGTTTGTCACCTTCAACCTCCTTAAGAACCAACAGTAAGTTATCAAAACACCAAGCTCTACCATCAAGAACTTTTTGTTTATCTCTCCAGTGAAAAAATTGAAAAGCAAATAAATTAGGTCCAAGCACTCTAATCACAATTTTCCTGGACAATGCCCATACCTTAGTCATCGTAGCTTTAAAGGCCTCAACATTGTATGGTCTTTCCGTCACAAGTCTCCCGATCAGCAAAAGGTTAAAATTTTCCTGCGAATTCGAAGAATCCACATCCCCTAAATCCACAATCCCTCCTTCATCCTCCTCCAAACGTAAGTTTTCGTAACGAGAAATCAGATCCTCCGCCATCCTCCGATCAAAACGAGCAGAAATGAAGGTCGAACCGCGAACCGGCAGTAAAACCCTAGTCTAGTAGAGAGAGCAGCCCTTTCTTTCGAGGGAGTTTATTGTGCGAGATTTATTGTTTTGATGCGGGTTCATAAATACACCGCATTTTCGGACCGAATCGGCCGGTACGACAATTTAATCATGAATCACCCGAAAAATCGCTTGAATTCGCGAAATTTTCTTCGACTTCATGTCTTCATTGTAAACCAGAGAGTAAAGAAGGAAAGAGGGGGAGGAGAGAGAGAGAGGGGCAGGAAGAGAAAATGGGTGGAATTGTTTTGCCTTTTCATTTGAGTACTAACTTTAACCAAAATTGTCTTTACCCTTTTATGCGTTACAGTTGTTACCCAATATTTACCGTAGTAAACAATTTATTTTAGAAGAATTGTACCAATAATACTATAATTATTATAATAATAGAAGAAAATAATATAAAAATTTAATTTTTAAAATTTATGAGTAATAACACTAATAAATATATAAAATTATAAAGCTAATATTCAGTGACCACATCCGCGATAATCGCATCAATTCCGTTCTACAATATGTCACCTTCAGTGGCGGACCCAACCTTGGTCCTGCTGGGTCACGTGACCTAACAAAAATTTTTTTTTTTTTTTTTTTTTTTAATAAATGGCACCCATTTGAAAATAAGATATAAAGATTATTTTTGGTTATTACTTAACAATACAAACTTGTAGCATAGTGGTTGGAGGGATTGAGACAAGGCCTAATAAGCAAGGGCCTAGCCACTCAGGTCTTGAGTTTGAGCATTGATACTTGCAATTTTTGTATTCCTTATCTTTTTTTTTTCCTTCCTATGGTTATGTCCTTCTTTTTTCATTTAATTCATTGTAGCAGTATTAGCTAGTAATAGATTTTTTATTTATTTTGGTTTTCCTTTTAAAATGATTATGAACTTATGACTATTTGATTATCATGTGATTAATTTGATTATCCTTCAATGTTGTTATATTTTGTGTTGTTAAGACATTACATTAAGTAGTTTTTCTAATTTGTGTTGTATATATTATATTTGTATAATTAAATTGGGTATTTTTTTTATTTTTTGTAAAAAAAATATTAACTCATTGGGTATATAATAGACAAGTTGCAAAAAGCTAGATTGAATTAATCTATTTTTGATAATATTGGATTTAGTAATTAAATTGAAATTGTGACTTAATTTTCTTAAAAAATATATGATAAAACAAGTTTCTTTAGTCCCAATATGCATCCTCCTCCACAAAATCATCCTCTATCACAAAATTCATCCACCTTCGGTATGCGGTCGATGGGTGATGATCGATAGGTGACAGTGACCCACCACCTTAAAAATCTGGATCCGCCACTTGTCACCTTTATCGCGATCGCGACCGAAACCGCATTTTCGAACCATGACTGAAAATGATTGCCCTGAAGTTGATGTTCAATCTAAAAAATGGCAAGGCCTTCTTAAGGTACTTCTTAAATGATCTTCCTTTTTAATCTGTATAATATAGAAATATAGTTTTTCCTTTAACTAATATACTTCTTTGAAACATGATCTTTTACAGCGATATAAATCCATAACAAAAGGGGTTATTAAGAATCCATTAGAGAATGAGGTTGAATAGGATAATATTTTGCGTAGTGGTTATGCAACGGGTGATAGATCTTATACGCCAGCATCAGTTGGGAAGAAACAAAAGGAAGTATTGACTATTGAAGCTGAAGTATTTGCTGACTCCAATGATATTCATGAAATTGGAAACCCGCAACAATGACATTCAACCTTATATAGTCCATATTGAAACTAGAAAGCGTAAAAGCCTTGACAGTAATACCCAACCATCTAGTAAATCTAGTAAAACTGTAAAAGGTCTTGGGAAAATACTGGTTGATCTTCATGATGAACATAATTTGTCAATCATAGGGGTGATGGTGTCTTTTCATTCATTAAGTGAAGGATAGTAATGTCATTGCACATGTGGTGACATGTTCAAACTGCCAACTATGTAATATTGTGTTAGTTGAGGTTTGATGGCGTTAACAACAAAGTTAGGGTCAAAGCCCCAAATCCCCACCCTCTTCCTCTTTCCTCTTTATCAAAGTCTCAGCAATGGAAGGTGTGTAGTACCTCCGGCAATGGAGGGTAGGTGTAGTGGTGACAATGAAACTGAAATTAGTGTTGGGCGACAACTAGCTATGACTCCGGCATTGGGTGGTGGTGGTGTCTGTACTTAAATCAATCTCACATCCGCAAACGTCGGCAAGAATTATGTCCAAACAAAGCTCCCTAGAATAGTAAAATCAAGGAAAAATGGTCACCCTTACCCTTTGAGGTTGATTAAACCCTTAATTTCACCTTTTCTTCCTACGGTTTTCGTTTGATTCGGCGGCGAAGCCACCAAAAATGGTGGTGTCAAAGGTGTCGGTGGTCAGTTTATTGGATGAAGCTTGGACAAATGAAGATGGTGGTGTGGTAGATTCAATGGAGGAAGCAGCTTGAATACCACTATTGTTACTGTTAGTAAACAGAGTTTGGATAGGCTTGTGTTCTTGGTGATTAAGCGGCTGACGAAGCATTAGTATGAGCTGGCTAGTATGAGTAAGCACTAGATTGACAAAATATGTTAATCATGAAGATCAACTGGGCAAGCCCCAAAGGTCTAGGGAAGAGGACATTAATGCATGTCTTAATTAATTAAGGCGATCCTCTATGAGTCAATATTCTAAACCCAAAAACCCTTTTGATGAAGTTCTTAACACCTTGGAGTCCATGGGGATTGTTGCAAAGTATGGGGAAGGCTTTGATGTGGATATTCTTGATAGCTTTAGCAGTACTCCTGATGCCATCAATCTTTTTACCTCTTTGCGTTCTGATGAAGGGAAACTTCAATTCTTGAGAAGCATTGTGTACTTGAAAATGATGTGTATTGGCCAATGATGTTGATTGATTCGGATAATTCTTTCGGTGGCTGACAAGGAAAATCTTTAGTTGAAATTATGTGACTTTCAACTAAACATTTTCCTTGTCAGCCACCGAAAGAATTATCCAAATCAATAGGCATCACTGGCCTACACATCATTTTTATTCGAGTATTATTTATGAGATAAAAAATATTTCAAATTGTAAACAATAAAAATTAGAGGTAGTATAATAAAAAACAACAGGGGCCAATTAATAAAAATAAGGGCCACGGGTTTGGGTTACATGGGTCGGTCCTCTGCCAGCCCCCTTGTAGCTCTGCCCTTACATGTTTCTACTTGTGCATTCTTATAAATCTATATCTATATCTATATTATTATTAAAACTCACGGGAATAACATGCTAACGTCATGTGTCACCCTTATTTATAATTTGTTACCACATGTGCGTCATGTATCCTATGTGTATCACCCTTCTCTCACTGCATTGGATTGCGATAACGTGTAGTTGATTTTTTAAAAAAACCCTTCATTGGTAAATTTTAATTCTCTATAATTAATAATGTTTAGGGAAAATTGGTAAAAAAAATAATCCCAATTTTTGCTTGTTCGCCCAAAATAATCCCAACTATAAATCATTTTAAATAATCACACCGGTAACCTGATAAAAAGGTAATTTTTTAAATATTAGTGACACGTGGAAAAACATGATTGGTTAAAAGAAAATTATTATAAAAAAACAAAAACAAAAAAATCCTTACCTAGCCACGGTGCCACGCAACCCCCGCACCACCTGAACGTCCTCCTAAAAAGTAAAAACCTAGCCCCGATTGGCTGGTCCACTGCCTCCCAACCCAGCCGGTGCCCCGAATCATCCCCCTCACGCCGCCCCTTCCCCAACCTCCTGCATGACCAAACCCCACCCCAAATTGTTGAATGGTGAAGGTCTAATTAATTATTTAATGTTGCTGGGTTACGGGAATTTCGGCAGTTGTAGGTTGATACAAGATTTGTTGAAGAATAAACCACTCAAGTGTCACCACATGTAAGTGTCCCACATTGGTTGAAGAAGATAGAGTTAAACACTTTATAAGACTAAGGGGCTACTCTTCCTATTGCCATATGGTTTTGGGATGGAAATTCCTTGAACTTGTGAAGATGACTCTCTATCTCTTGGTTTGCGGGTACGGCCCAGACCCGCGTTTAACATGGTCGTATAAGAGTAAGGCCCATGATATGGGACCTTAAATGACTAAAATTCACTAGGCCAAGAGTAGGTCCATGTGAGGGGGAGTGAAGAAGCACTTTAGCCCAAAAAATCACATGAGACAAAGTTAAAAGGGACCTTACATGTGAGGGGGAGTGTTGAAGAATAAACCTCTCAAGTGTCACCACATGTAAGTGTCCCACATTGGTTGAAGAACAGATAGTTAAACACTTTATAAGGCTAAGGGGCTACTCCTCCTATTGCCATATAGTTTCGGGATGGAACCTCCTTGGACTTGTGAAGCAGACTCTCTCTCTCTTGGTTTGCTGGTGCGGCCCAGACCCGCGTTTAACAAGATTGATGTGCGCTGAGGTGATTTCATGATGGTTGAATTATTGATTATAAGTGGTAAATTGGTGATTGTGGGTAAGGAATTGGTGATTGTGGGGGCTGCACTGCTTCAATAACGTGGGCGAAATGGCTATGGCGAATTGGCTGGATTGTGGTAGTGAGTGAATAGTTGGAGATGGATGTTAGTTGCGGCTGAAGGTTTAGGCTAATAGGCCGGTAGTGATGGTGGTTGTATTGTGTTGCGGGCTGTGCGGTTTTTGTGGGGCTGATGAAGGGTGGTTTCGTGGTGGTTGGGGTTGATGTGTGTTTGTAGGGGTACTGGTTGGCGGTGTGTTGCAGGTGGTATTGTTTTCCTGGTGGTTGGTGATGAAGGGCGTCGTTGGCACCGACGCATCGGAGAATTGTTTGGGCGTCGGCAAGAATAGGGAGACCGGGAGGTGCCGTGGCTGGTGGTGGGAAGGGGGGTCGTGGGTAGAGGTGTCAAAAGCACACC